CCACTATGCACTTCGCTCCCGGCGAATGCCATGAAAGACCGGTCTTATGTCAGTACGCTTAGTAGTTACGTATATCCTTGAAGTTTTGGCACAAAATTAATTTAATTAATTTTAACAAACACAAAATAATATCATGCCTTTGAAAACAAAAGTTTGTTTACTTACTTTACTCTCAGTTGACATTTATTTATTTTGAAGTTTTCGCCTTAAGCTGTATAAATTAGAAATAAGAAAAAGTATCTACAAGTTGGTTGGACGGTTACCCACAGCTAAAATCTGTCGAATATTCCAGAAAGAAAACATTTCACGCAGAAGCATTAATCGAACAATAGCGACAGCATTTACTGCACAGAGGTCAGAGAGATTGGTCAGAAGAGCAAGCCATCAGTACGATATCGTTAGATTTGAGGAGAAATTGTCTTAAATATCGAAACAGACTTAAGTGCCTCTAAAACTGTCAACCGCTTCGTATATCAAGATGCTGTCGTCAACTGCGGCGGGTATACGTTGCCAATCGACAACTTATAATCTTAGATGATGACGTAAAGGAATGCCCTGACAATGTTAGATACAAACATAAAGCGAAATTTGCAGATAAAATCCTGGTCTGGTGAGCAATTTCTAACACGGGTGTATCTCAACCTTTTGTGGAAAGAGTGAAGCTTTGAATAGTCACAGCTATATTGATAACTGCCTTTAAAAATTGCTCCGGTTTGTCCACGAACATCAAGCTAATGACCATATCATGTTTTGGCCAGACCTAGAATCATGCCATTACTCCAAGATATACCCAAAACTGGCTTCGACAACACAACATACCTTCTGTTCTCAAAAACGATAATCCTCCAAGCTTGTCGCATACTCGCCCAATAGAGGATTTTTGGACTTTACTGTCTAGAGAGATTTATCATGGAGGCTGGGAAGCCCAAGATGAAGAACAGGACGTTATGAGAAAGTTTCGTCTGGTTGAGGAGAATGGGCCACTCCACATAATTCGATAGTTTAGTTTAGTTAAGTATCGAGTTGTAATTTATGATAACTATTTAGTTCTAAAAACTTTTAGGACATCCGTTAAAACCAACCATTTCTACGCGACTTAGAACCCTTGAAGCAAATATTCCACAAGTTATTTGCAATATCTTTAGTCTTGCAGATCCACAGTATCTTAGGGGTGACTTTGCATATATTTTAATGTGCATTTTTTCTTCACATTCCACGACATAGATTACATATTTATAACTGTTACTCCTTTTTATTGGACTATCTGAAGTCTGCGATCTTTTAAGATAGCTGCCTCGAACATTCTATGGCATAGATGATCCATTATAAACTAATTCCATTTGAGAGTTGAGTCACTTAAGGAGGAGCGTAAAAAAATAACGATAACAAAGAAGTGAGTTTTAATCGTATAATGTAGATCCTTGTAAAGTGTGAATTAGCGCCTACTAAAAATTATTAAGAGCTCTTAAGAGTTCACGGTGGCTAATTGAGAAGCGGCATCATTAGCAGTTCCTCCATTTAGTTAAATGCAAGAAATGCTTTCTGTTTTATCGACGCTGCAGATTGAGTTAAAGCTAAGACCTGCCCTGCGGCCACCCAAAGAAGCACCCAAGGATCTACGTGATGCGGATGGAAGTTGCTAGGAAAACTCCGCTGGGAGTTCCAGGGATACTTCAATCGTCTACTCAATTTCAAGCGCTATAATGATACGGTATAAAAAAGGATTAGTATCGAGTTTATCAAACTTGAGAAAATGCCAGCAATATGGGTCCGAACCATTTTATTTTTTTAGGCTTCAGTAGTGGACTGTTGGTCAAACTCAGTATCTGACCAAAATTGTCAATCTCAGTCAATTTATTTAAACGGAAACTTCCATATTCCATTACTTAGAGATATACAGGGTGTAAAGTTAGTAGTGGATCAACAGAAGTCAGGTGATAGAGGGCCTAAAAACCCATCGAATGAACCGCTATATGTGTGGACCAAATTTTATAGTTCAGGAGATTTTGCAATTTTGTGAAATTTCGAAAAAAACAGCGTAATGAACTTTCAATCGCAATTACAACTAAACCATTTTTTTAGATGAGCTAAATGGTTAGTTATAGCAACGGTTATGTCACTTTTTCACAGAGCTTATTATAAGTCAACGCAAAAAATCGTAAATTCATTTTTTGTGAAAAATCTCTTCTATCTCTCAACTTTGGAGGGCGGTAAAAAAAATTGAAGTTGTATTTCATTATTCATTTCGTCGAAAAACTATTTCAATCCATGTAGAATAAACCCTGAAATTTTCAGCTTGCTATGATGAGTGTATCATGTCACATTTGTTGTTGTGATGCGATAAACGTAAGAAACGCAATATAATCCTTACCACCTACAAGTACAGAACCTATAATGTTTAGCCGCTCTTTATGGCGATTTACCGACAAATGTGGAAGATAATTCAATTTGAATAACTTTCAAAGGACATGTTCGAAATGGCCTACATTATTTTCCATACACAAGCTAATAAAATTTTCTGGAGCAGTTGGTTGATATTTGTATATTCAGATGTGTGTCCCCTTATAAAACGCCCATATAAAAAAAGCTGGAGGATTTAAATCGGGTGATCTTGGAGGCCATCGTATGTGTCGACCTCTACCTAACCAACGCTCAGGAAAGGCACTGTCTAAGTAACGCCGTACATCCCGTGCAAAGTGGCATGGGGCGCCATCGCATTGAAAATACTTGCGACTTCGAACGGTTAAAGGTACATCCTCTAGCAGCTCATGCAAACTGCTTTGTAGAAAAGCAAGATATGACTGGCGGGCAATTCATATGGTCCAATTAATTTTCTGGTGAGTACTCCAGCCCATAAATTAACGCCGAACTGACGTTGAAAGGTATGTCGGCGAATAGCGTGTGGATTTTCCACGCTCCATGAATGGAAATTGTGCATGTTGAATATTCCATTTCGGTTGAAGTTGGATTCATCTGTTCATAAGATGCTGTCGAAAAAAGTTTTATCCTCTTCGCACCTTCTCAACATATTCTCACAAAATTCACGCTGTCCATAGTCACTCGGAAGCAATTCTTATACTTTTTTGTGCACTGAAGTATGGAATATGTTTCTGCTTCGGGCAAAGGCTTTAGTGCTTATAAAGGGATCTCTCTCGTCTGCTTCTATCATATCTTCCATTTCTACCGCCAGTTGTTGTCCACCTCTTCTAACCGCATATTCCCGATACATGCGAGCAGCTGCTCGAGCATTTCATAGGGCAGCACCATAATAGTACATAATGCATTTATGCATAATCTCGCGGAGAATAAGAGATGATTCTACTCAGATGCCAAACGTTAGATACAAATGCCCAAGCTCATTAAGCTGATTTGGCTATTTGCGTAAAAATTCCGCCATTTTGATTTTATAAAATGTTAATACACACAGTATCACTCGTACTGCTAGGACGAATCTAACAGTACCGTATATGTCAAAATCCATCAAGTCGTTTGGTCTGTAGCTCGTAAAATCGAATTTCTTGTTTACATGTCTAGATATCCACCTGCATCAAACAGAGATTTTTTAGGATGAGGCACTTATCGTAGCAAGCTGAAATTTTCAGGGTTCATTCTACATGGATTAAAATAGTTTTTTAATAAAATAAATAATACAACCTCAATTTTTTTACCGCCCTCCAAAGAAATTTTTCACAAAAAACTGAATTTAAGATATTTGCGTTGATTTATGACTAGCTCTGTTAAAAAGTGACATAACCATTGCTAAAACGAAGCATTTAGCTCATCTCAAAACAGATCACAGCCCTAACCTAATGGTTTAGTTGTAATTGCGATTGAAAGTTCATTATCCAGTTTTTTCTAAATTCCACAAAATTGCAAATATCTCCTGAACTGTAAAATTTCGGACCACTTATATAGGGTCAAATATCTCCTGAACTATAAAATTTCGGACCACTTATATAGGGATTGATTCGATATGTTTTGAGGCCCACTATCACCTAACTTCCGTTGATCCACTGCTAACTTTACACCCTGTATATACCAAAACTCTCAACCTTAGCCTGATAGTCCACCATTTGGAAGATGGTTTTGTACTCTAGATTGAGCCCAGCCGCGATCCTGAAATTATCAACTGTCAGTTCCTTTAGTCTGGGCGCCACTAACTATTTGACAACTCTATCCTACCAATTACCGTGGGCGCACGCAGCGGTTTGTCCCAGAAGGGTCAGTACAAACATACGAATGTACTCCCAAAATTCTTCGAAAAGCAAAAAACGGCTCCGAAAGAAAATAGAATAGATAGAAATTTGTGAGTCTCCAACATTTTCTGGATAGCGGAAAGAGGCAAATTTTGTATGGGACAAGCAAATCTTAGAGAACCTACCAGATTTACAAAAAATGTTCCTTCTGACAGCTGTTTTAGCATGTCCTATTAAATAATCTAATTTATTCCTAATGATCTCTTAACGAAAATAGCTCTGAAAGACACACCAAAGGCTTTATTGATTGATCTACTTCTTTTTAATCATTGTTAGAATGTGTCACACTGACAGCGACGAAAGTCCTAGCGAACTCAACGTACACGATTCATTAAACACGTTGACTGCCACTATGGACTGAAGAAAAAATGCCTTACTGGCCGTAAGAAAAATTTTCCATGATTCCTCTCAAAATAATCTAAAATGCAAGCAGGATAAAAATAAAACCTAAACAAAAATAAAAAACGCTGTTTTTACAACTATTTTTTTGTGGTGACACATTGGCATCACGCGGCTGGTCATGACTAGATTATGCCTGTTGGCCGCGTGAGACCAACGCATCACCACATTTTGCCTGAATGCACCGCAATCTAAAGAGTTTGTCGCGTATAACAGTTGAGTTTTCTTTTTATTAGTTTGATCAATAGTTTATAATACCCATTATAGTCGAGAGTGTTATGACAATCATGTCATATGAGGCAGAACAACTTTGGCAAGAACTTTTATCTAAAGACGAAATAGACGATGAAAACTTGTTTGGAGAAACATCATCCTTCTGACAATATGACTGACTCTGATTCGGATTCAGGAATAAAAAGACCGAAAAGTAAAAAATCTTTGACAGCTAGTGTACAGGACCTTGTTGAGGGAAGCCAACCGTCAACTTCGGGAGCTGTTGTGCAGAAGTTCGATGCTGGCAGTAATGCCAGTTTACAACAAACAATTGAAATCTCATAGGTCATAAGCAAACGTTGCTATGCGTAAAACTCTGCAAACGACACTAAAATGCACAGGTTGCGAAAAGCACTACTGCTTAGATTGTTTCTTTCAGGTTCACATTTGTAACAGAATTAACTAATATTTTCAGTTTCACATGTTTAAGTTCTCGTTTTGTTTATCTTTTTTTTTTTCACAAGATTTGTCATAATTGAAATAATTATTTAGAAGTAGAAAAAAATGAAAACTATAACTTCGACTCTTACTACAATATTTTGTCATGTGAGACCACAGTGGTATCACACAAGTAAAGGCCAACAGTTCCTACGGGTTCATTGGGCCGCCTATTAATCGATACAATGTAATTCAAATGCAGCTAAGAGACCACCGTGGCTTCACGCAGCAATATGGGTTCTCTGTCAGTGCGAGTCCACGTAGGAATCATGCGGCCAGAATTTTCATTTTACTATGGTGACACGTTGGTCTCACATGGCAGTCAACGTGTTAAAAAGTAAGGGTAAGTTTATTTAGTATTTCATGTGCCATATAATGAAATATAATGACTATGGGAAGTAAGATTTTTTCGGGAGTACGGCCCTTTGCGCCCTTAGGAAAAAATTCGGCAGGCGCCCATGTTAATGGGTAAGATAGCTGTCAAATATTTGATGGCACCAAGACCAAATGGACCGACAGATACTCAGATAGCACCTACTTTAAAAAAGAAAGCTAAATGAGTGACTATGAAGGTACGTTTTGTAGGCGACCAGATATTCTTATATAGTTATTAGTATATATTCCTGCGTAACTACAACTGTTCTGCTGGATTTAAGAAAGGCATTTGACTGTTTAAACCACAAAATGTTATTGGCTAAGCTGCACTTTCTTGGTTTTTCTGAGAATTCGATTACATGGTTTGACAATTACCTATCAGATCGACTTCGACAAGTTAAAATAGGTAGTGACTATTCTGACAATCGGGTCATTGTAAAGGGGGTGCCGCAAGGTTCCATTTTAGGACCAATCTTATTTACTTTATACGTGTCGGACTTGGATCGGTCGGTCAAACATTGCGCTTTACATTCTTATGCTGATGATACCCAGCTTTATCTATCCTATGATCCCTCCTCATGTGTTGATGCTAATGAAAAACTAGCAGTAGATTTACGCGGCGTTTGTGATTGGTTTAGATACCACGGGTTACACATAAACTGTAGCAAATCGGCCATAATTACCTTCCGCTCTAAGAAGAACGAGTTCAGTGGAGATGCTATAAAGCTATGCCTCAATAGTGAAGAGCTCACACACAAAAGATCGGTATTAAACTTAGGAATAATCTTTGATGAGCACTTAACTTTTCATGATCATATTTCTAAGGTTGTACAGAGCTCTTTTGCTAAACTAAAAAGCATCTACAGCTTTAAGCACGTATTGGCTCAAGATACTAAAATTAAGCTTTGCGATTCACTCATTTTAAGTAAGTTAGAATATGGAAGTTCCGTGTTTGGTCCTTGTTTGACTGAAGCCGAAGCTTACAGACTTCAGAAAGTGCAGAACAGCTGTATTAGATATTCTGTTGGAATCCGAAGAAGGGAACGAGTGTCTCCATTTATTCAAGAAGTGAATTGGTTAACGATGAGGCAGAGGTGGTTGGTTCACATTTTATGTTTGGTTCATAGCATTTTATTGACCAAATACCCTATATACTTAAATGATAAGTTATCCTTGAGAAGTCAGCATCATGCAGCGAACCTCCGTTTCGTTGGTTACACCCTTAACACGCCCCATCATAGAACCACCCTATTTACTAAGAGTTTCTCTTTTGTTGCACCCAATCGCTATAATATGCTCCCTGTCAGCTTTAAAGTTTTATCTGTTCCACTTTTTAGGTCAAAAGTAAAAAAAATTGTTTTTGAAAATATGTCATAATACCTTATATTATTTAGTTTTTAACTTATGTAATGGTGTAACTGTTAACTGTGAATATATATAATTTTTTCTTTAAATTAAAAAAATGCCTATTCTTGGCATAATAGATTTTTCATTATTGTTACTCAACAATGTTTATGTCTCCCATATTTTGTATTATAATTTTGTTTGGCCCTGGTTGGTATGAAAAACAGCTTTTAGCTGACACCCGCCAGGTTAAATAAAGGCTATTATTATTATTATTATTATATAGGATCGTTGTGAATGTCCAACTAAGGAGGAATCACTCAACTAAACTAAACGCATTATTGGTTGCATATGTTTTGTGAGACCAAATGGTTCTTGTCTGTAGTTTTTATCTCTGAGAAGAAAGTTGGTTGAATAGCAAGATCGCATCTGGATGATTATGTGTATTGGTCTGCATGTGTATAAAGTCGGTGATATTTGCAGTGTGAGAAAATCATGCTGCCAATGAAGTACTCGTATATCTATTGGCTGTGCCGACGGATTGTTTTTATGTTGTGCTTTCTGAAGAGAGGTTATGTTCAAAGTTATACATTACGGAAAACTGAGGAGAATTGCGGGAAATCGTCACCAACGCGTTGTGTTTAATTACTGCTTATATGGCTTGTAATTCGACAGTGTACAGTAAATATAATTATTTCTTATCTCTCTCATTTCTGAAATTCAAGTTTGTATATGTAACTTCCAGAATGGATAAGAAAAAGTGAATTCGCAACTAGCTTTGAATCTCAATTAAGTGTTTTTGAAACAAGAATCCAATGTAATTATCATCAACACGTACAACTTAGAGCTTAAACCTCCAGTTATGTCATCTCAGAAGCAGGTTTTACATCACATCAGAGCCAAAGATTGATAACAAGCCTCATGACGTTCAGGCAACACATACAACTAAGTGCTAAGTTAATATCTTGTAGAGAAACCTACATAATGTCAAAAAAAACAGCATAATGTCAAAAGAAAATCGGCATATTGACAGTTTTCAAGTTACGTGATACTCGTGCCGATTATTTTCAGATTACTAACAACTTGCATAAATGTTATTTTTATGTATTGTATTAAAAAAATACACATTTTAAAAATAAAATCAGGTTGAGCCTTATTTGACTTAAAATATCTTGTATATAATTTGAATATTTAATTTAAATTCAGCTCCACAGTGTAAGAGACAAGTCCAAAGATGGCGCTAGGTATTCTATATCTTTAAAGGATTCTAAAACAGATCGTATAGGTTTTATAAAAAGTTCGGAGTATATCCCAGGGATGGCGCTACAAACTCAGTGACAAACCTTAGCATTACAGATTCCCTCATAAAGTAGGTATTATGTGCAGATACTGTCGCATGTATTTGTATGACATTATGTGTCTGTATTCTTACATTAAAGTACGATCACCCCGAATCTCATCTTTCTAATTTGACCTGTTCAAAGAACAGATGATGAAAATCTTTTTGAAAAGGACAGCTTTTTGTAGACATGCTCAGATCGGTCAGATCCAACTTATGAGTCATGAAGGCAGTAACGGTTTTGATCAAATTCAGAAATATATATTAAAAACGTCGTACCTTGATTAGGCAAACACATTCTGAAATCTCCAAATACTATTGATGTTTATCGTTATATTCTACTTAGGCAACGGGCGCTAGCCATGAGTATCGGCGGTCCTTCTGGATTAACTATAAAGGACAAAGCCAACATTTGGAGTCCGCTGTCATAAGCGAATTTTGGCCAAGGCCTATTCGGTGGCCTTGTGTTGTAGCAAGTCACTAGGCATATTAGAACTAATGTGACTAATTTTTAATGATTTTATTTTCTGTTTCAGAATGCCGCTGACGCCAATCACTAACGACAACCGCTTCAGGTAAGCTTTAGCTATAAATAATAAAATTAAAAACTTAAAACTTTCGCACTTGTGCTTTAAATAAAAACAATATGAACCTACGTTAATTATCGGACAGCGTTGTGATCATTCATCAGTTCAAGTGTAGGGATTTGGATGGTGATGAACATCCTCGGCTACCACACTACTTTCTTAGGCCCGTATCGTCAGTCGTTCGTACAATTGTAGGGCGCGTTTATGGCCTCCTTGATTGTCATACTCCTTCCTCTCCTTCAAAATTTTCTAGATTACACTTGTCCCGTGTCAGCGTCAGCGCTCTCCTATTGTGAAGATATGTTTTCTTTTTAAATTGTAGGAAATTTCAGGCTGATAAAACATGATATAACTCAAAAGCAAGCACAATTTGATGCAAATAGATGTTTGTGACATAACCTCAAAATAGAGTTCTGACACGGAGAACTAGAAAACTATGACAATCAAGGAGGCCATAAAGGCGCCCTACAATTGTAGGGACGACTGACGATACGGGCCTTAATTTCATCAATATCCAGAGGGCTATTTAAATCGCTTCCAGTAATCCTGATACAAACATATACGACGAAATTCGTGATATTTCTCACAGTTTCGTTTTGAATCTCCAAGTTATTTACGTGTAAGAATCTTTGACACAGCTCGAAGTGTAGAGCAACATACTTAGGATTAGGATCTTGCTAATCACCTATAATACTGATTGTAGCGAAGGTTAAGCTGTTTCCTGAGGTTCTTGATTCGTGCCCCTATTTCAAGTGGTATGATGGTTACATCAAACCTAGTTCGAAGGCGATTCAGTGATATTCGTTTAGTTAAGAACAAATTAATTTCAATTCTTGCCTTTTCACACCTCGGACTAATCTACCCAACTATTTGGTGGCAGTATTTTATTGACATATTGTGGTATATCTTTTATCATATACAAACAATTCAATATTATTCGAATCAAAGACACTCCTTGGTGTACCAACTCCAACAAAATTCGGTAGATCAGACCACTCATATCCAGTGATAGGCGCATTGTCATCGTGTGAAAACTGTATACGCGAATGCAATAATTGTATTACATACGTTTTGATATTTGTATACACAATGTAAACTATGACTGTACACAATAGCAAATATTAGTTCAATTACGCCACTTGCATATTATATAAACGCATATAATTAGAAAAGGAATAAATGTAGATATTTGTTATTTATGA